CACCTGCGCGTCCAGGTGCTGCCGGGTGAGGCCGGCCAGCGGCTCTGCTGCACGGTGCTCGAGGCCAGGTGAGCCACCGCGGGTGCAATTAGGCACCAAAATGCACCCCGGGGCACTGCTGGTATCCCGCAGCTGCGGTCCGAGGAGACCCTCCAGGTGCCACGCTGCTTTCCGGCCCTTCTCCGCAGGGATTTGGCTCAGAAAGACCGGAACGGAGCCTCCGACCCCTTCGTCAGGGTGCGCTACAATGGGAAGACGCAGGAGAGCGCAGTGAGTGCGGGGCTGCTTCCAGGGCAGATGTTTCCTTTGGATTTCGGGCTTCCCAAAAACAAGGGCTGGGCACAGCCATGTCTCCTTCTCTGGAGATCTTCAAACCCGCTTGGATGCAGTCCTGTGCCACGTGCTCTAGGTGACCCTGCGTGTGCAGGGGGGTTGGACTAGATGATCTCTAGAGGTCCCTTCCAACCTTGAGCATTCTGTGATTCTATGATACTAGCAGGGCTCTGCATTAGTCTGGTAACAGGAGCTGTAGTGGTTGCTTCCAAGAATCAGGAGATTGGCTTGAAACACCATGGGTTTTGAAGCCCGTTACTGGGAAAATCAGACCGGTTTTCCGAAATCAAGAAAATTCTTCCACTAAGAGGTGGGAGAGTCACGTTGGCCACGAAACACGTTGTCCCAGGAGCCGGGCTCCCAGCAAGTCATGGGCTACCTGGAGGCCAGTTGGGACACGGAGCTGCCTGGGTGGCAGCGGCCGAGCAAGGGGGGCTGGAGCCTTTTCTCCTGGCTGCAGGTCGTGAAGAAATCCTGCTACCCGCGCTGGAACGAGACCTTCGAGTTCGAGGTGGCCGCGGGCGCCGCGGAGCAGCTGTGCGTGGAGGTGTGGGACTGGGACCTGGTCAGCCGGAACGACTTCCTGGGAAAGGTGAGCGCCGCTGCGGAGCGCTCGTGGAGCCCTTTCCCTTTGGAAAGGAAAAACCCCTTCCCTTTGGATGGAAAAACCCTAGCGCAGGACCTTGTTGCTGCTGCAGGCTGAGACATGAGCCCTTTTTGGGATGCTGCAAGAGGGGATTTGGGCGCAAAGATGCCAGCAAAGCCCTGTAGTCTCTCCAGTCTCAGTTTCCCATGTCCATAGGAGGAAAGTTTTCCTCCTCGCTAGCCCGTTCAGGATTTGCTAGTGCTCCCAGCCCGGATCGGGGGGTGTTTTGCAGGGTGCACTGCAGCGCGTGCCCTGTGCAGCCCTGGACCTGGCCGGGTGCAAGAGGACAGGGTGGGTGTCCCGCATTCCCGGCCGGCTCCCTGACCTCTCCTCCCTTCCAGGTGGTGGTCAACGTGCCGGGGCTGCAGGAGCTCCGGCAGGAGGAGGGCTGGTTCCGGCTGCAGCCGGACAAATCCAAGCCAAGGGAGGCTGGGTGAGTCTCAACACTGTGACAAGGGACCGCATGTGGCAGGACACCCTTCCCATTGCTGGGAAACACCCTCATTCCTAGCAAAGTTGGAGAGCCGATTCCTAGGAAAAAGCCCTTCACTTGGAGGCCAGGAGAGGGGAGGGCAAATGCAGGACAGCTCAACCCACCCTCTGAGGACGTCCAGGGCTGGGGGCCAGGATGTTGGGATGCTTCCTGCTCCGGGAAGTGCCTCTCCATCCCGCTCTCGTCCCGTCCCAGGGGCAACCTGGGATCGCTGCAGCTCCAGGTGCGGCTGCGGGACGAGACGCTGCTGCCCTCCAGCTGCTACCAGCCCCTGGTCCAGCTGCTGTGCCAGGAGGTGCAGTCGGGAGCCCAGGTGAGCGCTGCCCCCGGGCGGCCCCGCGCGCCCCGGCCACGTCGGCTGGACGGTTGTTCACCAAGACGGGGGATCTGCTACCCTAGTGCCGTCATATCTTCATCCCTGTCCCCACCAGGACGGCAGAGTGTCCCTGATCACCCTCCTCGACGAAACCACCACGGCCGAGTGCCGGCAGGAGGTGGCCGTCAGCCTGGTCAAGCTCTTCCTGGGCCAGGGGCTGGCCAAGGACTTCCTGGACCTGCTCTTTGAGCTGGAGCTGGCCAAGCCGTGTAAGCTGCGAGCCGGGGCCGGTGCGGGACGGCTGCGGGCTGGGTGACGTGTGCCCGTTGGTGTCCCCAGTGTGGCACTGTCTTTGTGGCGTTTTGCAGGCGAACCCAACACTCTCTTCCGGAGCAACTCGCTGGCCTCCAAGTCGATGGAGTCCTTCCTCAAGGTGCCATGTGCTGCCCCTGGCAGGGAAGGTGCTCTGCCCCCCAGGCAGCCTTCTGCCCACAGCGGGATCCTGATGGGAAATTTGGGCCAAAATCCTGGCATTTTTCAGGTTGTCCCAGCTCTGTGCTGTCCCTGCTGGAGCCAGTGTCCCGGGGCAGGGGGCTGGACCTGGCAGGAGGGATGTCCATAAGGATCCCCACAAGGATGCACATTGCCGGGGATGGATGTACCAGGAGGTGGCTGGAGACACCATGGGAAGAAGGGCACAAAGAAAGTCTAGGAGGCTCCAAGGGGGGGAATTTGGGGTGCCCACAGTGGTTGCTGTGACAGAGTGTCATCAAGGTGTCCCCAGCACTGTGCCCTGCGCTGTCGCTCACCAGGTGGCCGGGATGCAGTACCTGCACGCCGTCCTCGGGCCCACCATCAACCGCGTGTTTGAGGAGAAGAAGTACGTGGAGCTGGACCCCAGCAAGGTGGAGATCAAGGACGTCGGGTAAGGGGCGGGCCGCGGGCGGCGGGGGACACGGCGGCGCCGC